AAAATGAGCATAGGGCTCTCCTGCTCTGCCATCTTCCCTGGAAGTCTTGTAATTATTATTATCTTGAAGCACTGACTGTCACAGAAATAACCAAACTTACTTGTCAGTTGCATTGTAATGAACTCCCCTCAGATCTTTAACCATGGGAATTTTAAGTCTTTTATCATTTACGGGCAGTTTTATTTTTACTCAGATGCTTTTACAAAAGTGTTCCTGCAAAAAGCTTCATCGTCAAGGAGATTCATGGAAAAGACTCTAGCATACAGTTTTATGATAATTTTGAGGTCATAAAACTAAACTGGCTAAATATTTCCAGAACTCATGGAAAAACTGGATTCAAGCAAAACAAGAATTAATTACATGGGACTGAATAAACTGAAGAGGGTGATTATAATTTTTATAACTTTTGTTTGAACATTGCTGATTTTTAAAAATATTTTCTTTTTCCAGATGTAAAGAAACCTTTTCTCCGAAGCATTTACCTTTTCTTCCCCCTACCTGATCCCTTCAGAATTCAGAAACTCTCAGGAAATGTTCTTATATTTTCATGGCCGTCTATTTATTTGCATAAGTTCAGTAAGAATCTGTTTTCCTCATAACAGGAACATTGGAAACATTAGTTATAACACCAAGGCTTTGACTGAAATGTCACATTTAGAGAAACTTGCATAGACTCCAGATATGACCAGACCGCTTCAAGGAGCTCAGGTTGACTTTATGGAGCCAATAAAGCTTTTTGGAAAAACAGCCTGATACCTTGCTTACAAGATTCCCAGCAGCCTTACCAGGTAAGCAAAGGAAGTTACTTCCTGGCAGGTGCTAGAATCTCAGGATATTTGGGGGACTCAAGAAGAGAGAAAAGTAACCCAAATCTATAGGAATTGCAGGCAAATCTGATGGCAAATATTTGGCTTGGCTTCTTAGCCTCAGAAGTTAAACGTTCAATCTGGAGATTCCTTATGAAAAGTAACAGTAAAGCAGATTTAAAAGAGCCTGTAAGATCAATCACTATTCTCCTGCACTTATGTAAATAATCAGGCCTCGTCCATTAAAACTTAGCTTATTTTAATTACAAATTAATCTCATTTTGGCTAACTTTGTAAACAAGGGTGACTTTAGAGAGAAAAATTATGTTTCACTAACACAATTTTGTGATTCCAGTTCTGTTCATTTGTCTTTAAGATTTTGTTTACTGCCTATAAACTAGACTAGATCCTGAATTTTTCTAGTTTCCTCCAATGTCTGGGTACAACTCTGAAAACTAACATTTCCAATTTTCTCCTATCCTTTTGACTTGGGATCATGGAAAACTAAAACTGCCTTTTTTTTTTTTTTAAGATTTTATTTATTTATTTGAGAGACAGAGAGAGCATAAGCAAGGGGAGAGACAGAGGGAGAAGCAGGCTCCCTGCTAAGCAAGGAGCCTGATGTGGGGCTCGATCCCAGGACCCTGGGACCATGACCTGAGCCACAGGTAGACACTTAACCAACTGAGCCACCCAGGCACCCCTGCCTTTTTTCTTTTTTTTTTTTTAAGCCCTGCAAACTGAATATGAATGATCTGATGGGAAATCACCACAATAGCTCACATATAGACAGTCTTTGTGCCTATTGCTCTCTGGTCATGCAAAAGGGTCACCAGACACATTTAAATTACAAACCAGGGGACACCTGGCTGACTCAGTCAGCAGAGCATGCAACTCTTGATCTTGAGGTCATGAATTCAAGCCCCACACTGGGTACAGAGTTTACTTTAAAAATAAATAAATTACAAACCAGGAAAATCTGTGAGATTGCAGCTGCCTGTTCTCACACATTCTGAAGATGCTTCAAGTCTGACATCTCTATGGTTGGTTGTGGATGGGCCAAGCTCCACAGGCCTAGAGGGTCCCTGCTGCTCAAGGCCTAGAGGGTCCCTGCTGCCCAAGGCTAGCTGACCAAGTATGTTCTGTGCATATACAGGTCATGCAGGTCAGGTTAGGCAGGAACCTGGAATGGGGCAAGTATCCAGAGAAGGTGGATCATGGAAGCGAGCTCTTGGAGGTTTATGCCATCTGCCTAATTCCAAGCCTTAACCTACACACATATTGCCCTGAATGTAAAGCTGCAGGAATCTGGACTGCCTTGTCAGGGCAAAGCTGGGAAGACTGCCGGGTATCTTCCAATAACATACAGATGGGAGCCTGGAGAAGTTCTGGACCTCATCAGCCAGCCAGTCCAAATGGGGACTGCCTTTTGCCAGGTTAAAGCTGCCACCTCAGAAAGATTTTTAGGGAAAGCTCTGTGTACCCTGAAACTGTTCAGGGTTTGGGGTTCGGCCAGAGCTCTATGGGCCTAGAGTATTCCCTATAGCCCAAGGCCAACTGACATGGGTCAAACTATGCATGTGCAGACCGCACAGGTCAGGGCAGCCAGGGACCTGGGACAAGGCAATGTCCAGTGAAGCCAGGTCACAGGAGGTGAATATTGGGGGGTGCTTGGCGTCCTTTTACTTTCAAGCCTTAACCTTCATAATTGTGCACATTGTTGTTGTTGTTATGTACCTTTATAGGACTTGGTACTCAGGAGAGACGGTTTAGCCCACTGAGGGCTGATGTCTCTCTGCCAGTGTCAGAGTTAAAGTCCCGCATTGCCAGAGCACGTTGCTAGGGAACACGGGTGCTGGTGATGATGGGCAAGGGGACATTTTTTGAGGTGTATGGCTTTCACCACTACCAATAAGAGTTACCTTTACTGTGCCAAGAACTAATTACCTCAAGGCCTCTGGAGAGCTATTTTAGATCAGCAAAGTGGAGCCTTGCCCAAACAGAACACTCTCGTATGCTCCTCACAAGTCCCAGTGTTCAGAATCTGCATGTCCCCTTGTCATAGGGCTTCTTCTTATGTCTTCGTTGATGAGTCCCCAGCGAGGCCCCTCAGCAGTGGGGCTACTGAATTCTTATGGGTGAGAACAGATGAGACAGAACTTAACTTCACTCTTACATCAAAACATGACTTCTAAATATTTTTTTATGTCTTTGTCATAAACAGGTGCATCTCCAGTCATTTCAAATCAGGACATGGCAATCCACCCCGTCACTTCAAATCACTCACACACCATTTAATACTAAAGCTTAATGCCCTGTACAAATCCAAGTTCACAAAAACATCAATCCACCCTGTGATTCTACCTCACTTACAATCTTGATCACACACACTCAATCACATTTTTTATTTCTCCTTTGCACATTCTTTTACACCATACTTTCATCACCAATTTAAGCAAGCATATTCCTAATATTATCAACATAAGCATAACAAAGAAGGCTCCAATAAGGTACCATATCTAATCACCAACTGACCACAAGTTAACCTTCTTAAACCACTCAGTTCAACTTCCTTAACAATTACATTTCCAACGAAAGAGAATTTTTATAAAGCTCCGGTGGTTACAAGCTTGCACAGTGCTATCAAGCACACGTTCGACTGCCATAACATCAGGATTCAAAACATCAGAATTCAAGGCTGTTGTTATTTTAGGGAATGCATGTTTTTGTGTTTTTAACATCTGCAAAGTTATTTTGACTTTATCAGTATTATCTTCCAAATGTTTCTTTTCTTAAGTTTTCTAATGTATGATTTACATTTGTTAGATTTAGTTTAGGAGGTTCGATGTGAAATAGTTCTCTGGTTATTTTAATGATTCCTTTATCTTCTATTGACCTTGAGTAATATCTTTTTCCCTCTATCGTCACATGTGTTACCTGTTTTATTTTTATACATGCCATCATGTTGTGTTTCTTATTTTCCCCTTGAGTCCAAAAGGTTATGATGTGGGGTTTGGCCTAGAGTCTACTATCCTGGTCCAATTTCCCATATCATATATAACTCATGGAGGAGGCCCCAAGGCCATAGTCACAGATACTTGTACTATCGGTGTAGCTATAGCAAAGGTATTTTGATTTTGTTCCACCCACATACCCTTAGGAACATATTTTCCTTCTATCATAAGTATTGCCCTGACATTATAGCCAGTCTAAGAGTATTCGACATACCAACTGTTCTTAACTGCAACAACTAACAATCTATAGTTAAACAACTTTTATGCCATTTTATAGTATCTTTTTAGTGTTTTCTCCACCTGCTTTGTGTCAAATTTCCATTGCTCTGTTCACTTCTATGTCAAATTCAGTTGTGGTTTGTAATGTACTACTGATTTTATTTCTCCATGTACCCAACCATGACAATGCTGCCAGGGCATGTGTGTTAAATTGAGACTGTTTGATTTCAAACATTTTTAAATGTTTAATATGTTTAATATGACCCCATGGACTTGGAATTGAGAAAACGTGGCTGCCCTTGTTCCTTCAGTTAATCCCCCTACCAGTCCAACAATGACCTGTAAAAGTTTCCTTCATTTTAGCAAATCTGATTTGGGCATAGGTTGTAAATTGGGCATAAACGAAGATGGATAAAACTGAGCACAGTTTGGCAATCAATATATATCTGGCTTGAAAGTCCTTTGTGTTAAATTTCAAGATATAGGCTACTATTATAAGTTTTAATATGATCAAGAGTGGTTTTATTAACATAGGATCCCATATCCTAGGGACAGACATGTGTGGTATGAGATTGTAGCCTGATGTATACCATCAAAGGTAATGATAGGTGTTAGATGCTAAGTTTCCTGTGTCCTCTCTACACCTTCCAAGGTGTCCCTGTTCTTATAAGGTCTGGACATAGTGCCTGTGAGTCTATTGTTCATTTTCTAATAGGTGAAAATGGATTAAACAGGGCAAGTTGAAAGTGTAGTAAAGGGTCAATTTTTTGCCTATTTATATTTAAAGATATAATTGCCCTTTCTGTATTTTTTACAATAAATAGCTGCTTTTTTTACAACTAAATGCTAGCACGCAAAATGAATCCGAAATTAAATTGGTGTTATATTCACAGAGTCTCTGCCGTGTATTCGGTGCTGCACTTAATTCAGTAATATAAGGGAAAAGTACAAAAGTCAGTACCTGGTTGTCTTTTATGCTGGGTTATAGAAGAGCCAGTTAGTAGTTCAGGCTGATCTTTATCTTCCAAGTCAATGTCTAACAGAGGGTGTGGTTTGAGATCTTTGTTTTTCTTGCAGATATTGACGTGGAGGTTTCCACTGCTTCAGCAGCTTCCTTAATGTTTGGTTTCTCCACTGACTGGAAGGTTTCCCAGTGAGTAGATGGTGCAGATAGCAAAGGTGGGGTGGACGGGTGGGGCTTGGTGCTGCTGGTGATGTTGGTGAGTCTGTTGAGCCCTCGGTTGCAATAAGGTGGCCAGGATAACGATCTGTGGAGGAAGTAGAAGATGTCATGGACAGTGGAGTTGTATCTAGACTAGAAGGTGGAATTCCAATTTGGAGTGGTTGGCACCCCTGCTGTTGCTGGAGCTGTCAGAAGAGCGTCCATGGCTGCAATGAGTATGGTCTCCAATAGTGAGCAATAGGCAAAATAGTATGTCCAGCAAGCAGCATGCTGCACTGACCCATTTAGGAATATGGACAGGGTAAAGATGCACAATGGAGTCATGCTTGCAACAGAAAGATAGTGTCCTATAAAACTTCAATTGTTTCCTGTTGTTGTTCTTGCCACTCAAGGAAATCTAGGGTTATTAGGGCCATTAGTGCTATTATTGGCCCAAGCATAATTGTCCTGCGTCATATTAGGTATCTACTGCTGATGCAATAAAAGATGGTGTTCTCCATGCCTGAAATTTTTATAGAGACAGCATATTATTTTCTTTAATTTGATGTAATGTACCTTTTCTTCAGTCACTCAGTAGGATTTATTAGTGGCAGATGTTATAGCTGCCCCAGAACTGTATGTATATCATTGTTTTTTAATTAGTACTTTTCCTTTTAATTTAGATGTTGGGCTGTTGCTAGTGCTAGTTCTCATCTTTGTGGGTGCCTGCAACATTCATTCAATGGAAGTTTTCCATCCTTTCTATATCTGTGGTTCAGAGATCTTGCCACCTCCCAGATTGCTTCAGTTCAAGTTTTACATCTAGATTGCTCGTAAGCAATTTCAGTTTTCGCTTGAGTCAGCCACTAGAGCTTTCAGTTGATCTAAGGTGGTTTGTTGTAAGGTAAGTGGAAGTCCCATGTTATGCCCTGTTTCTTAGCCCATTCTTCTATTAAATTTCCCATGAAGTGGGTGCCCTGAGCTGATTATATGATGGTTGGGATACCATAACAAGCAATCTAGATTTCCAATTTTCTGATGGTGGAATTTTTTATCATCTTTCCAGCAAAGATAGGAGAATCCTCTTCCTGACCATGTGTCTACAACGGTGCATACATATAATTTATTCTCTGATATAGGCAAGGGTCCTATACGATCAATTTGTATAATTTAGAAGAGTGTGTCAGCTTTGACCTTATCTGGAGTATTCATTAATGCTTTAAAATTTGAGCAATTCTCCCATTTCTTAATTTGAAATTGGAGGTGTTTGGTAGGGATGTGCATATTTCCTTTCTCTAACCATGCTGTAGTGCCCGTGTGACAGCATGACCTGTTTGGTGATGTGCCCATGCAATGATCCTATCGTGGCCTATCTGTGTGTTCAGGTTTTACGTTCCATTGTTCTTCTGGTTTATAGCATGGTTTTGCTTTGAATTGGTTTCCTCCTTATCCATGAGGCACTGTGTTTTTAGTTAAATTTAAGGAATCTGACTTTTAGTTTTTCTTAGTGAGTTTATCTACCTAGTTATTAAATTTGGTTACTTCAGAGTTGTCTTTTTGATGTGCAGGGACATGTCTGATGAATATGGAGATGTCAGCCAGGGCTATTTTCTGCTACATGTCCTCACCCCATATGTTCTGATTTCCCGTTTTCCAGTCATCTCTGCCTCCTCCATGGTCCCAACCAAAGAGCTATTCCATTAGCTACTACCCAAGAATCTGAGAAAAGATAGACCTCATTCTGATTTTCCTCAACAGACTGTTAAGTCACCCATTTTATGGTTATTTGTTCAGCATATTGTACCGATTCTCCTGAGACTGATTTTGTCAGTGTTAGAACACGAACCTCAAGGCTACCTGCTAACTACTCTGGATGGCGTCATGGAGGCTGATCCTTTGTAAACCATGCATTGTTGAGTGCCACAGTCCAGGGTGGTCCCCACTGTCCTACTGCTCCAGCTTGGATAGGCTCATCCCTCAGAAATTCTGGCAAGTCTTCTGTTGGCATTGATGATATTTTCTTACTTCACGCAGAAGGTCAATCCTCCTTCTGTAATACCCACTCAGAAACTTGCCATTTCCATGTTAGGACTTTATGGTCAAGAATAGTCCCCCTCTGTTTGTCAGGGGTTTGCTTAACCTGCTCCAGAATAAGCTGTTGGAGTTTAAGTATCATTGGTTTATTTTCTGTTAGTGGCCCTGTATTCTGTAGGTGTGCCCAGATGAATCTTTCAGTTGGTTGATATCTGTTCTCAGCCACAGGAACTTCTTAGTCCAAAATGCATCCGGGTAAAAAATTGGGGTCCTGTGGTGCTTTAGTCCATGGTGAGTGTGTTGCGAACCTTTGTGAGTATAATTACTCTAGTTTATGTCGAGAGTCCTACTTATTAGGTGGTGCCAGTGTATTTAAGTTTCTGGCAGCATTTTTCAAATAGAGGCATCCCTTGAATCTCTGTCCATCTAAATTCCCTACTTTTCCTAGTTATTTCATAAATACGTCTTAATATGACCCCCATATGTGGTATGTGCTATTTCCAGTATCCAAACACTGCTATCCTTTTCTGAGCTTCTTTTGTAGTAGAAGTTGGTATGCAATCTGTTTCATTTATTATTTTTTATTATTTGGTCTGGTATTTTTCTGCCTTTAGGGGACCAAATTATTGGGGGACAGATTTTACTGTAGTTTGGAGTCCTTGGCCCTTACTTGGGTTGATTGTCCATCCTGTGAGTGTAAGGAATTCAATAAACTCAATTTTGACCCTAGTCTGTTCTTCCAAGGAATCACCAGAAATAAGGATGTCATCAGGATAGGAAATACTGGTTTGTGTGTGTGCTGTTCTCATCCAAGGCCTGGATGTCCTATGCTGGGTTGTGGGCTGTTAAGCTGTCGTTGTGGCAACCTAGTGAACTGCTATTGTCTGCCTTCCCGTGTGAATGCAGTCATGGGTTGGCTCTCCTGGTTAACTGAAATAGCAAAGAACATGTCACCTAAGTCTATCACTCTGTAGTAAGTTCCAGGTCCAGTGGTGATACTGTTTATGACAGGCCTGCATCTGGGGGTGCTCCCTCAATTTGGGGAGAGTGTTTAAGTTCCTGTAATCTACTGTAAATCTACAGGACCCGTCTGGCTTTTTAATAGGTCAGATTGGGTTATTGTATGGTGAAATAGTAAGCACAATACTAAATTCCTTTAGGAGTTTCTGAATGTTTTCTTCGAGTATGTTCTATTACATCCATTCCAGGAATGTTTCCCAAATTAGGACCTCTAAGGCATTTAGCTTTAATGGGTGACCTGTCATCAGTTGTTAGGAAGCTATGGCCCATGTCCTTGGGGTCAAGTTTCTCCTAATCCTTCAATTAGTCCCTTTTTATTATTAAAGGTTTCTAAATTAGTAGAATATCCTTGCATCACTGTTACTTGGGAACCTGTATCTAACAACATGTTCGTATACATAGTATTTTTAGTTACAAATGGGGTTTCTATTGATATGGCCAGCATAACATGGGCAAATGCCTCCTTTGGCTGTCAGGGGCTTGTCTGTTAATGGGATTAGGTTTTATAAAGGGGTCAGTGTTTATGGTAAAGGAATTAGTGGGTCTATATGTGGGTTTATTTTCTGTAGGTCTATTTACTCTCAAATGTTAGTCGTTTCCGTTTCTCTGTCGCCTACATAGTTTCTGGGGTTTCTATTTTGATAATTTGTTATGAAGAGTGGTAGTGTAAATCTTTGTGGGCTGTTTTGATTGGGGCTATTTACATGAGGTGTAGGCCTGCTTTGCGTCTATACGTGGGTGTTACCTTGCCTTACTTCCTCAGCTGTTCTTACCAAGTCAACCAGTTCCGTGTTGCTGGTGCCTGCAAACACTAAATAATTTATGCTCTGTCCTGGGAGCGGGGGGGTGTGGGGTGCAGCTTTTAGCCTCACCTTTTAATTTGTTCTCTTGTTTTCATATGCAGAGGTGAGTGTCCCCTATCGTGTGTAGTCCCTACTCTGTGAGCTGGCCTTAGGCTCCAGGGGCCACTCCAGGCCTGTGCAGCTCAGATAAAACTCTGACCACCTGACCAGCCTCAGGGTAGAGACAGCCCCCACTCTGAAAGCTTTCTGATGCTCCATTTTTAGCTGGGGCCTTTCTGTCTCCATTTGGACTGGTTGCCTCGATGGGATCCTGGGCTTCTCCAGCAGTCAAGCCTCCCAGGTATCTCTTCTGGGGCAGGACTCCTAACCATCTCATGCAGCCCTTCCAGGTCTGCCTTCAAGGGAAATAATGCACATTTGTCTAAGTTAAGGTCTGGAATTAGGCGGATGCCCGCTGTCCCTAATAACCTGTTCCTGTGACTGTTGCTCTTCAGCTACCGTCCCTTGTTTGCATCCCTGGTCACCGTGACTTGCAGTGCCCATGCTTGCGCAGTCAGCACACTGGCAGTTGGCCTGGGGCTGCAGGGTGCTCTCCAAATCTGTGGAGCTCCAGCTGGACCCCAGCCCCTTGAATGGGCTCAGGATATAGGGAGCCCACACTCTAAAAATCTTTCTGAGGCTACATTTTAAAATGGTGTCTTTTCTTGGATACGAGAACTCTTGGAATTAGGCACATGCCAGGTATTGCAAATAGTTTGCTGGAACCCAGCGTCTCCCTGCAATGGCCCTGTAGGGCCAGGCTGCCAGTAACAGTGAACAGCAGGCCTGTGCCCATGTGCTGCTTCCCAGGTTAGGTAGCCAGGAACCTCGATAAAGCCATGAAATGGGAAAGACAAGGTCACAGTGATGTGGGAAACAAAGGCAAAAGAAAAAAATTTCCGTGTAACCTGCAGTCCATTGACAAATACTGGAGGCAGGCAGAGTATGACATTCCTCCAGGAAACTCCCAACTGCCTTAATGTTAGTGCCTTGCTAGACGGAAAACAACCTTAGCCTGACAATAGCTAGGTCCCTGGGATCCTGTAAGTCTTCCTTAGCATATGAAAATTCCTTCGGAAACTTCCTTTATCTCTACCCTCCCCAAGATACATTTTAGAAATCATCCTGCAAGCTGCGGAGAAAGGGGAACCCTCCTATGCTGTTGGTGGGACTGCAAGCTGGGGCAGCCACTCTGAAGAACAGTATGGAGGTTCCTCAAAAAGTTGAAAATAGAGCTACCATACGACCCAGCAATTGCACTCCTGGGTATTTACCCCAAAGATACAAATGTAGGGATCTGTAGGGGCATGTGCACCCCAATGTTTATAGCAGCAATGTCCACAATAGCCAAACTATAGAAAGAGCCTAGATGTCCATCAAAAGATGAACAGATAAAGAAGATGTGGTATATATATACAAGGGAATATTATGCAGCCATCAAAAAGAATGAAATCTTGTCATTTGCAATGACATGGATGGAACTAGAGGTTATTAAGCTAAGCAAAATAAGTCAATCAGGGAAAGACAAGTATCATATGATCTCACTGATTAGAGGAATTTGAGAAACAAGACAGGAGCATAGGGGAAGGGAGGAAAAAATGAAACAAAATGAAACCAGAGAGGGAGACAAACCATAAGAGACTCTTAATCTCAGGAAACAAACTGAGGGTTGCTGGAGTGGTGGGGGGTGGGAGGGATGGGTGGCTGGGTGATAGACATTGGGGAGGGTATGTGCTATGGTGAGCACTGTGAATTGTGTAAGACTGTTGAATCACAGACCTGTACCTCTGAAACAAATAATACATTATATGTTAATAGAAAATAATAATAATAAATAAATAAATAAATAAATAATTTTTAAAAAAATAAATCATCCTGCAAGCATATGGCCCGCTGATATTCATCTGAACGGTCTCATGACTGAGGATTTACTAAAAAGTAATAAATGACCTTTTCCCTAACAAGAGCTAGTCCCCTCAGGATCCGGGAAACCTTGTTTCCAAAATACCCGGGAGGCTTGTGCTGTGTTAACCCCCTTCCAACTTGAGAGTATATAAGCAGCCACTCCTCATGACCCTGGTGCAGCTTTTTCTGCCCCCTGGTCCTGTCCCCATGCTTTCATAAAACCACCTTTTCGCACTAAAAATGTCTCAAGAATTCTTTCTTGGCCGTCGCCTCTGAGCCCCAGCGTTCAAACCGCATCAAAAGGAGTGGGCCTTTGGGAGTACAGGCATCTCTTTAATTCCAAGCCCTCTCCAACTCAAATAGGCATATTACCCTGAAGGCAGAGCTGGAGGAGACTGGAATGCTCTGCCAGGGCAGGGCCTGGCAGGGTGGCTGGGTAGCCCCCAAGAAGAGAGATTTGTGAGCCTTGCTACAGGAGAGGCCTGCGTGCAGATTAGGCAGCTGATTCAACGGGGGACTATCACTGATTTGAGCTGCTACCTCAGAGTAGTTATTAGGGGGTTGGGCTCCAAGCAACCTTGAAACTATGCAGTCCTTTGGGGCCATGCCCATGCTCCCTAGGCCTAGAAGGTTCCTTCTGCCCAAGGCCTGCTGAAAGACTACTGAGCATAAGGAGGCTTCACAATTCAGGGTCACCAGCTATCTGGAAGAGGATGAGGGTTTGCAGATGCTGAGTGACAAGTATCGCCTGGGGAAGCAGGGTATGGCTAATCTCAAACCCTAGCCTGCATATTTCCCCTGCAGGCATCAGTTGGAGGATCCTGCACTGCCTAGTCAGGGTAGGTCAGGGCTGCTGACTGGTGACTCCTCCAACAAGAGTCACCTGGGTTCCCTGGTTTGGGAGAAACCTGGGGCCTGTTGGGACAGCAGGTCCAAATGAGGACTCACCCAATTTGCAGCTGCCAGATCAGAGTGATTTTAAGGGGGTGGGCTCACACCACCTTGGGGACTGCAGTCCTTTGTGTCCTTGTCCTAGCCCCACAGGCCTGGAGGGCTTTGTCTGCCCAAGGCATGCTTAAGGGGCGGGGCGGGGGGAGCTACTGCACAAGTGCAGTTGAGCACTTCAGGGTTGCCAAGGTCAACCAAGAAAAGGAGGTGAAACTTTAAAAAGGCATTTTATTTGGGGTCTCGGACAGGGAGTACAGATTATCCGTGCAGGCAAATCCAGGTGAGCCACTTTGGGTTACTGGACCAACTATTCCATTGGCGTAAACAAAGGAAAGTATTCCTGGTATGCATTCATTAACTATCCCGTGTTCAGAGAGTTCACACCAACAGTTTTATGGTCTAGATATCAGTGGTCCTGTTGAATTTTAGAGCAACTGCTTGTAAAACAGTTGCCTCTTCTGTCCCAGTTCAAATGTCTTTTTGCCCAGTTCAAGAGTTCATTAGCTATTTGTTTTTAAAAGGAAAATAGAGTTTTTCACATACAGAAGTTGTATAGTTTCACTCCAGGGACTGGAAAAGGGCAGGGGTCTGCAGATGCTGGTCACAGGAGATGGCTCTTAGAGGACAGGGGGATGCCTAATGACAAGCCCCGGCCTGCACAGGTGTATTTACCCACATCACCACCCCCCCACCCCACCCCACCCCGGAAGGCACAGCGGGAAGATACCAGGCTGCTCAGGCAGAGGGGTGAACAGGAAAAGCGAAGAGGAGAAAGGGTGAGAGTATGAGGGGGAGGGGGAGGGTTCAGCTGTAGCTGGCTTCTAACCTCCAATACTGAGACCTGCGCCCCCTCACCACCACCACCCCCCTCCCCCACCCTGCGCACCACAGGTGATGGGGTGGTGCACAGCGGCCTTGGTGTGATTAGTGCGGTGTTGGAACCTTGGGGCTTGGGTTTGAATGTGAGCCCTGAGAAAGGACTCCCCGTGCCCGGTTATAGCAGCAGCAACGTGGGGGTTGCCTTTTGGACCTGGAGGCTTCCCCCCGTCCTGCTGCTGTGGAGCAGGAAGGCGAAGCGGCTCAGGAACACCACTCTGGAGGAGGCACATTCTGAGGCAGTGAGACTCCACCCAGGACCTGGAATCAGCAGCCCCTCCCCTGCACCACTCTGAGGCTCCCAATCCCACCCAGAGAAGAGAGCCTGTGGCTCCTTTAACCTTCTCCTTTGTTGACAGAAGGGCACTTGGGATGGCTTTTGGGGGATCCACCCTTTTCTGGCCTCTCACCTCCCCACAACTCCTGGGGCCAGGAGCCCTCCCTGCAGGGGCCTCAAGGGGTCACCGGCATCCTTCCAGCTGGAGCAAGGGCTCGGGCTGATCTCTATTTCCCTGGGCAAGCCTGTGAGAGCTGATCCCAGACACCAGCTGAGGTAGGCAACCTCCTGTCATTGCTCCTCTTTAACCTGCAAAGTCCAAGGGTGGCCTATCAAACCCGAAGGTGAGCAAAAATAGTGTGGAAAGGAAGAAATAAAACCATCTCTCTTTGCAGATGAAAAATCCCAATTAATCTTCACAGGGGGAAAAGAAACAACTACTAGGTCAATAAACTAACTGTAAAGTTGTAGGGAATATGGACAAAAATCAGTGGTGTTTCTATCCACCAGCAATGAACACTCTGAAAAGGTAATTAAGAAAACAATTCCAGTTACAAGAGCACCCAGAAGAATAAATTATCTGGGAATATATGTATTCAAGGAGTCCAAAGACTTGGACACTGAAAACTCTACAACATTGCTGCAGGGAGTTAAAGAAGGCCCAAAGAAGTGGAAAGGCACCCTATGTTCTCGGCTTCTCAGCTTGGAGGGTTTCGTGCCATGAAGGTGACAGTACCACCCAAATGATTCAACATAAGTCCTAGCAAGTGTTTTTCTTTATTTTCTAATTGCTGTCAATCCCTCGAAGTACATTTCCTTTCAGTCAGTTTTCATCTCTCAGAGTTAGATGGGATCTTTTTGATATGTTCCATTTATCAACATAACATCTTAAATTTATGGACTACAGTTATAAAACGTGTTTGAACATCTGCCTCTGGTGATTCGAACATCTGTGTCAGTTCTGGGTCATTTTCAAGTGATTGACTGATATCCTCCCTTAAGAGTCATTTCCCCCAGGGGTGCCTGGGTGGCTCAGTCATTAAGCGTCTGCTTTCAGCTCAGGTCATGATCCCAGAGTCCTGGGATCAAGTCCCGCATCAGGCTCCCTGCTCCGCAGGAAGCCTGCTTCTCCCTCTCCCACTCCCCCTGCTTGTGTTCCCTCTCTCGCTGTGTCTCTCTCTGTCAAATAAGTAAATAAAATCTTTAAAAAAAAAAAGTCATTTCCCCCAGCTCTTCGCATACCTCAAAATCTTTGATGGAAGGCCAGACATTCTGAAGTTTACTGTGTTGGTCGCTGGTTATTTTTATATCAATTTTATTATTTTTATATAAATCTATGAATTTCGAGCTTCGTTCCAGGATGCCTTTAAGTTATTTGGAAACAGTTTGATCTTTTCTGGTCTTACTTTTATGATTTAAGTGGTCCAGAGCAGTGCTCAGTCGAGGGCCAATTAGTTCCCATGACTGAGGCAAGACCTTCCTGAGGGCTCCACCCACACCCCATGAATGATGAGGGGGTGTCTTTTCTTAAGTTTCTCTGTTGGGAACAAGCACCATTCCCAGTCTGTGTGAGTGCTGGGCACTGTTCCCTCTAATCCTTTCAAATGACACCCCCCGCCGCCCCATAGTTGCCCTACTTGGAGGTGCTGGTCAGGACAGTTCTGCATGCTGGCGGGGGGTGGGGGGCCCTAAACAAATCTTTCTGACTGACTTTTCTCAGGTGTCTTCTCCCTGGCACTCTGTCCTGTGGACACCAGCACTCTGTCCTGTGGACACCAGCTACCTTCGACCCCCAGGACTCTCAGCTCAATGTCCTCAACTCCACGAGGTCCACTGGGAGCCTCTTCAGTTTCCCCTCTCCCACCTTGCTTGGAAACTTGCTCGAGGCAGTAAATTAGAGCAATTGCAGGACTCACCTGTTTGTTTTCCATCCCTCAGGGATCACTGTCCTCTTTGCCTGATGTCTAATACCTTGAAAATCTGTGTTTCAGGTATTTTGTCTGGTTTTGTTGTTTTGTTGTTTCAGGCAGGAGGGCAAATCCAGTTCCTGTTACTCTGCAATGGTGTGGCACCCCTCTGTTAAAATCAAAGTTGGAAAATGTCAATGTAGATTCTCAGTAGAGACTTTTACAGAATACAGAAAAGAGCCAAAGCCAGGGTGAAAGTGTCACCAGCTGGGCCCCAAGACCGAACCTTTACTGCCCATCTGCTTGTACTTACTGACCTTTGTCCCGCATTTTTCCTTAAGCTCTTCTTTCCAGCTTATCTCCTATCTCGGACAAACGAAAGTGAAAGCACCCTCAAAGGATAGGGATTTCCCTGCCATGACCACCCAGAGTAGTTTGTACTTAACCCCTGACTCACACTTGCACAGATGGACCATGGAGTGACCTGTAGAATGATCGATGACTACCTTTACCTCATTATAAACACTAATATCTCCACCCAAGGAGGAGCCTAAGCCTCATTTACATAAGATACAATGTATGAATAGGCATGTTTCCTTAAGGCATATGCACGACCTTATGCCCCCCTCTACATATGATGACAAGACTTCTCTATCTAAATGTTACAGGATTTTTTCTCCGTCGGTGCCCACGGTTCTTGGTTACGCCGCTTCAAAGAATGAAGAAGTAGACCAGACAGAGTGTGGGCAGCAAAGCAAAGTTTATTGAGTGATAGTAAAGTGATAGTACAAAGCTCCCAAGGAGGGAGGGGACCCCCAAGAGGGTTGCCACTGGAGTTTCTACGTCTAGGGGTTTGTATGGGCTTGTTGGCAGGCTGTTGTGATCTGCTTAACCCTCCCTGCACCTGTCATCCAATCAGATTTTTGTCTTCTGTCTATCATATGGAAAAGGTGGAGGGCTCCTTCCAGGGTGGTGTAAAATCCTTTTAAGGGTGGTTTCCAATTAGGGCGGGGCCCCTTGTCCCTGCCTGTCTGCCTTCCAACTATCCTTCATCATAAATATTCATCCTAACCCTAAATAAAAGGAACCCATCCGCCCCTGCTAGGGCTTTGGAAGCGATTCCCCATGATGTCCTTCTTTGTTGCAAATGAAGTTTTCTTCGTGAGACAAATCAATCTGGTACAATTTCTGACTCACCACAGAGCAAACTCACATTGGTTTGGTTACAAAACCCTGAAGTAAGAAAAACCCTTAAAGCTTGTATTTAAAACGCACAGTGCCAGTTCAAGGACAGTTTCTGCTTGACTCTGTCGGGGAGCGCCAAAGCCCCATCTCCCTTGTCTAAGAGCTGAGGGATAGAGAGTTCTTGGGAGGTCTATGGTAAAGCTGGTCTTGCCAGTGGACAAGCCCCTTGAAAAGCATGTCAGCCTTGATCATTTCTCTCAAGGGTCCTGCCAAGGAAAGATGAACATGACTACAAAGTGGCCTGAGGGGAAGTGTCAGCTTTCTCTGAGCTTTTGTGGGGTATCCCCAGCTGACACTGGGCCCAGGCTAACTTCTTCATGGAAATGGATGGAGAAACAGCAGCTTTGCCCAATCCATGGGCGGTAACCTGAGCACAGAAGGAGGGGCAAAGATGCCCAAACCCTCTCCTAGGCACCTCTCTGTGCTGCCCCAAAACAGACCAAGAAAGGCTCCTACTCACAGGGTCATGGTGGGATGTTTGCAGTACAGAAGTGAATAGTCAAGAAAGAATTCTTCAGATGTCTCCGGTGCAATAAAAGGTGGTTTTATTAAAGCACAGGGACAGGACCCTGAGAGAAAGAACTGCACTGGGGTTGTGAGGGGTGACTGATTGATTATATACTTTTTTAGTTAGTGGGGGTTAGGAATAGTATACGTCTCTAAGGAATTTGGAAGCAAGGCTTCCAGGATCTTGAGGGGCTAGCTGCTGTTAAAATAAGGTTATTTTATAAGCCACTGGGTGGCTCAGTCAGTTAAGCATCTGCCTTCTACTCAGGTCACGATCCTGGGATTGAGTTCCTGCTCAGCGGGGAGCCTGCTTCTCCCTCTGCTTGCCACTCCTCCTGCCTGTGCTCTCTCTCTCTCTCTCTCTCTGGCAAATAAATAAATAAAATCTTAAAAAAAAAAAAAAAGGCTATTTACTACTGTCTAGTAAAATATTAGTCATGAGACTCTTGAGGTATATCAGTAGGCCATATGTTTAGAGGATGATTACTAACGTATATCTTGGGGGGGGGAGGGCGGTAAGATAAAGGAAGTTTCCAAAGGGATTTTCGTATGTTTAAAGAAGACTTACAGGATCCTGGAGGTGGGGCTCACGTCAAGCTAAGTTTGCTTTTTGCCTCTAACAAAGTGTTAACATTGAGGCAGTTGAGTTCCTTGAGGAAGGTCACTCTGCCTGCCTCAATTTTTTGTCAACGGGTTTGCCTTTGTTCCCCACATCAGATCGGACTAAAAAGTTTGTGGACCTCACCTGCTAAGCAGCAAAAATGGGGCTAGGTACCATTTATGAACTGGGGGTATTGCTGTCTGCACTCCTCGTGCTGCGAGACACAGCACGTATCCCCACGGGTCTCCCTCGTTCACTAACTGAAGCCAGTTCTTGCCCAACCCAGCCCCAGCTGCAGAATGGGAGTGGCCCGAAAGTCGGAATCCTGGCCGTTGTATTTCATTCTTTATGAAAAGCCTCTTCCCTTAAGCATTTAGTAGCACCTCCCCCACGCTAGCATAAAGACAGAACTGGCTTCTTGAGCGCCCAGCGCAGGGAGGAGTGCGGGCTCCCACTGCTGCAGCTCGGGCGGCCACATCCCACTCGTCTGGGAAGGTAGCAAGCCCCCACGTGTCTCATGTCGAAAGCGGACTTCAGCTCCCTCCATTTTGACCTCTGTCTGTACTTTCTAATTGATTAAATTCTTTCCAGCTTATCTCTGAATGCAGGCAGAAGACTCTGCGAGCAAAACATCCCGTGATGGAAACGGAAACTAACCCCTCAAGCACTGAGGACGTCCTGAGCCAGCTAGCCACCGTCTGTGACAATGATCAACCTGATACTCGGTGCCCCCTTGCACGTACCCACCAACCTTTGTCCCTCATTTTCCTTGCATAAACTGCGAAGTACTTTGGAGACAGTCTTTGAGATGCTAGCCGGTGTCCTCCTGGAATTGGCCTCCCTGAAATCAATTCCTTTCTTGTTTCAGCACCGCTTTTCTCTCTGCCTTTGGATTTTGTCAGTGACCAGCGGCCAAACCCGGTCCGTTGCACCCCTGCGCCCTGGCTAGTGTGCAACAGGTAAGCCCCAGACTGAGAGATGTGCCCCAGTGTAATTGTAGGAACTCTTCCGCCCAGGACAGCTTCACACCCTCCCACTGTCCACACACAGTCACTTGGCCCCCACAACCCTCAGCACCTGCCCCCTTCTCAAGCCTCCCAGCCCCCACACAACTCTTCCTAATAAAATCCAAGCAACAGCTCTGGTACTTCCACAGCCAGGGAATTCTATGGAGCACTCTACCCTTGTGCTGCCTGATTCACATCGATGACATCTAGGGCCACCCCCTTCCTCCAGCCCACACCCTGCTTCCTGCCCCCAGCTCCCACCTGGTGTTCCAGCTCTGGTCCTCCTCCCCCGCCCCCGCCAGCCTCCTCATCCTCTCCTCTCCAGCCTGATCACACCGGGGCCAGCCCCCCAACACACACACACACACACACACACACACAGCAGGCCAGTCCTCCCCCCATCTCTGGAGAAGCCTGGGCACATCTCTCTGCTCTCTCCAGCCAGAACCTGGTTTGGCAGAGACAGAGGAAGATAGCTCCGCCTGAGGAGCTCAGCCTCCACAGCCACGAGGCCTGGGCAGCGCCCACCTGAGGCCAAACTGGCAGATGTGTGGCCAAAAGTCAGGAACCCCTGGGCACTCAAGGCTGACACCAGCCCCTCAAGATCCCCACACACTGAGAATCCAGGTGCCTGCTTCTTTACAAGGCATGTTCTGAGGGCAGTACCAGGGCGCCCCACCGTGGCTCTCTGGGGGAGGCGCACAAGGATCCCCGAGTTCAGGCAAGGGCAGATCCAAAACCATCCTGTCTGCTCTATTTAGACCCAGGTGAGATTTCACAGCAGGAGGTTAGTGGGGTCCCAGGTGCCCGGACTCTCTCACTGCCTTCCCTTCCTCCACCACTGCGCACTTCCCCCGGGATGAGATTTCTGCAAAGTTGGCCCTTGGAGGAAAAAAGCCACATCTGAAAACAAAGCAATTAACTCCAAAGGGCCTGGTTTGGATAATCTTATGTTCATCCATGGAGCACTTCTAGGGTTCTGATTTGCCTTTTTTTTTTTTTTCTTTAAGATTTTATTTGTCAGAGAGAGCATGCACACAAGCAGGGGGAGCGGCAGACAGAGGGAGAAGCAGGCTCCCCCACCTTGAGCAAGGAGCCCAATATAGGGACCCAATCCCAGGACCCTGGGATCATGACCTGAGCCAAAGGCAGACACTTAACCAACTGAGCCACCCAGGCATCCCATGATTTGGCTTTGTTTTGATTTGCTCTTCCAGATTGCACCTTGAGGTAGTGTCTTAACTTGACTGTTGAAATTAAAAAAGATATTTTTTTAGTTCCAGTTTTAGTAGTTGGCACCAGAGTTCAAAGTGTGCTGGTAGGCAGAACAACACCCCCCACCCCCAGCTTCCTAGGAGGTCCCCATTCTAATCTCTGGAACCTGTGAGTATGTTACACTGCATAGCAAAAGTGACTTTGCCAGTGTGCTTATGTTAAGGACCCTGAGATGGGGCGATTCTCCTGGACTGTCCAGGTGACCCCATGAGATTACACAGGGCCTTAAACTTGGAAGAGGCAAAAAAAGAGGTCAGAATGATGCTGTGTGAGGACTCTACCTGCTGTTGCTAGTGCTGAGGATAGAGGAAGGAGTCACCAGCCAAGGACTGTGGGGGACCCCAAAAAGCTGGAAAAGGCAAAGAAACAGGTTGTCTGCTAGTCTCAGAAGGGAAGGCAGACCGATTGACACCTTGATTTTAGTTCAGTGAGATTCTTGTTGGACTTATAACCTACAGAATTATATAATAAATATGTATTCTTTGAAGCCAGTAAGTTTATGGTAACTTGTTATGACAGCAGTAGAAACCAATACATGTCTAGATCATTCGCTTGAGCAGTAATAAGATGTGTGGGATGTGATAAACCCTGTATAATTCTGCAGGTTGTCTGTCGGAGACTGGCCGTCAAGAGCTACTTTCGCCTCTCTGAGTGTTACATTAAGCATCTGCCTCTTTTGTCCTTTCCATTCTTTTCTGTAGGCTTGCACCCTCTTCCCTGCACAGAGTGCATGGTTCTTATGTGAATTACGCAAATTGGACCTCATAGACGGTCACGCAGGCGATTTTTTTTAAAGAATGGGCTCTGTTTTGGTCACATAAGGGA